TTTATAATTGTCGTAAATACATTTTTTCGATATATTGATGTTTCAGAAAGCTCTCAAGTGCATAATATCAAAATTATATTCATTGATTCTTACAATTTCCAACAGTTCTCGAAATATTCTCTTTTCGAATGTTCCCATTATTGAGCCACGTATTGGCTCCGGTATGACGTCATGGGCTTCCAGCTCCTTGATCGAAGTTCTTAAACTTATCCCCCACCCCCTCCCCATGCGAGACTGGGTCACGTGGTGTTGCCCTCTCCCCTCCTTTCTACCCCTGGGAGCCATGCTTGGAAGTTAATTCGAGTTCGGAGTTTAGTTCTGGTTATGGATCCATAGGGCCTTGCTCGCTGCGCCGAGCCAGCCGGAGTGATTGTCAAATTCCTCTTCGGCTGGGAGTCCAAAATTGGTTTCGGCAAGTAGTGGGCTGGTTCGCGGCCGGCGAGATCGCCCGCGGTCGCCCGTCGTTGGGTTTGTAGTACGGCGGCGACTCGTACCAGTTTAGTTAAACCTGTGTTTATAATTTATATTGTGTATTTGGTTTAGACTCAGCCTGTGGCCTAGGCTAGAAAGTAGTGGTTATGTTTTCATGCAACCAAGGCATATTGTTGCGCCAGTAAATATGGGCCATTCTGCCCAAATTAGATGCCGCTTTGTGCGAGCATGTAAATGTGCAATTAGTTGAGTTGTTCTGTTTAATTTCTTGGGCTCGTGCGCTCTAACGACGATGAATTCTTGTCTCTGGTGTTGAGCCCATTTCATTAGTTATTAAGTATAATTTTTGAAAGATTAAATGTTTAGGTTAAAACGACAGACGGCCGGCCGGAAGGCGAGGAGACAGAGCCGCGGCTGACTCTTCGCATTCCTTGGCAGTCGATCGAATTGTCTTTAGAAAAGACGGTTTACGCATCAGTGGAAAGACCTGGTCAGGTTTCGCTTAGCGCGACAAGGCATGTCCGGCAAGATGCCGACCTCAGCGATTTCGCACGCGCAGCTTTCGCAACTTGGGAAAAGGTTGAATCTTGGAATTGGGAAAACAGGCCGTTTCAGGCACTCTGTTTCTAGCAGTTGCCAGAAACGGACAAGTAAAGCAAAGTGTGCCTGTGGAAAACCTTGGGATGGCGCCAGTGTTTTTCATGTGCATCATGTTTAGCGCGAGTGAGTACTTGCCCGTGGTCGGGTCACTGATGGCTTATTAGAACTTCTGGTTTAAATTATTTTGGTGGGTTAATGTGTTTTTTTAATTTAGAGGTGTAAAGTGTTTTAATTTGATTATATTCTCTTTTTTTTTGTTTGGAGAACTCGAGATTTTGTGACCCTCCTAGTGAAGCACGTTTTCCACAGCATAGGTTAAGTGATATCCACTGACGTCCGATAAGGGGTGAGTACAGTCAATGCTCCTTATCAGGGCACAACATTGGTTATGTGTTAGTTGTGTTTATTAAATTCTGTTATTTGTTATTATATTGATTGCCATCATTTGTAACTAGATTTACCTCGCTGCTAGCTTGGATCCCTTACTCTAACTTAGGGAGCGTGCGAGCACAGCACGAGAGCCGTATGACGGAGCACCGTTTCCCCCTCCGATTGAGGAAGTGTAGACGGAGCCGAAAGATGCCAGAGAGTGACGGTGCTGTGGTAGCAGTCCGTAAGACAGTACAAGCGGTACAGCTGGTAACTTTATTATGTTTTTCGACATATGTGAAGGATATACATATACTTTAATTATTATGGAGAATGCGATGCTTCAGTAACCGTAATCATTGGGAGTAGTTGAAAAGGGTGTTGTTGGTGGCTGAATATAGAAGTTCTGAAATGTGCTCGTCGCATACGTTTAAGCATCTCGAAAACCATAAGATGTATGGAAAAATATTCGGGATCAAATGTGTTTTTCAGTTTTATCAACAATTTTTTTCGAAATATATTTCAGTCTGCTAAACGAGTTACCCTCTTAATGTGCATAACGAAGCATGTAAAATATCCGTTATTGTTGTTCTATTTTAATCAAAATTGGGAATATGTTGCCAAATTTCATTAAAACTACCCAATAACAAATTTCATGACAGTCCGTTATCGGTTCTCTTATTCTCATGCGTTCAGACGGACAGAATGACTAACAACGAATTTAATTGGCGCTCCCCAAGCTTACGAACACGCTTAAAAACGATTCTTCGCCTCTGCCGCAGGAAGGAGAGCGAGAAAGTGCTGAAAGGTGCTTGTTATGCCCCAAAATTCGAGATAGTAGAAGAAGCCACGGCCCAAAAATGTTCGCGCCTAGCGAACAGTGTTGCACAGTTATTGCCGCAACTTGTAAACATCAGTAATGGCAAGTAGGTTAGGAATCTGCTTGCCCAGCAAGGCTGTGTCCTCACAGCGCCAGAAGTTTGCCTCACTCGGGCACTGGAGGATCGGAAGAGATTGCTTACGCAGCGATCAGACGCAAGGGGGTCTGCCCACATCCCGATAAGACCCAATGAAAACCTAACTTTAGGAAATTAGAACACAAGGGAGGAGCTATCTACCCCCTTGTCGTCCACGCTGAATCAGCGAATTAAAACTATAAATGAGGGAAATTCAAGAGACTTGGGATTCTGATTTTAAACAGAATAGAGAGTTGTCAGCCGAAGGCTCTCTTCGACATGGGTCAGACCAGCGGAGGCAGTGTGCCGACATCTTGTACTTCAGGTGGGTCTGTTCACGTATATTAGCCATGCCGATTGATAATCTGTTGTTTGATAGTAATGGTGATAACTGTGTGGTTGAGTTATTTTAATGTGTAAACTCCAGTGTACCCAGTGAGCCC